AATTTAACTCGAGAAATAATGCCTTAAATGTGTGTATTTTTGCCTCTTGTTCGATCGCCATTGTGTACATGCAAGCGAAGCCGCAGTCCAGCAGTGGTTTTTTGTCGTGACGTCACTGTGCGGTGATCGTTGTCAACATAAGACAAAATATACTAGCAAAAGTAGATATTACGCATAAGCATATTTATAGTTGCATTTTATTTTCTAAGTTTTTAAATTATTTTGCGCAATGGATACGGATTACTCAAACGATTCCTCTAGTAATTATTCTGGAAGCAGTGTTTCAAACTACGAAGAAATGATTAACGATCAAAACATGATTCAACCATATGCTTATGAGCCGATTGAAACAGACTCTAGCGACGAGCCTATGGACGACTCCGACGAAGTTCAGCTGTTGTAACAATGAATGAAGACTCAGCACAATTTGAGGGAATAGATACTCCGGACTGTATTACAGATAATCCTGTTTTTCGTTTAAATTATTGGGTATTACGACTGGCATGGAGTGAGTACAAACAACACTATGGTTCAAGAGCTGAAGAAGGAGCACACAAAGACATGACAGGCTTACAGGCAACTGGTTCGATGGTGTTGGAATGTATTGGGCGAAATTAGAGTACCATCTTAGCAGCACATTCCAACCATCAGGTCTAGAAGAGGACTTTGTCTTTGAGGGTTTTAAATTCGCTGATGAATAATAATGATAATGTAAACTATTATAGCCATATTTATAAGTATCGTTAATGATGAATTACTAATATATAAAAATATAAATTGGATTTAGTAAATGAACAATAAATACAAATTATAATGGCCAAGCCAAACCAATTCTTTATTTGTGCTATGCAAGGATTTTGGTGTACATAATTAAAAAGTGCCTTTGCTAATGAATTTGCATAGCAAAACAAAAATTGGGCTACTTTACTATTAGAGATTCTCTTATTATTAATTATGAATATTGATATATACATAACTATTTTTTGGGGACTGTTTAAGTCATATTCTTTTGTGCAAGGTATGATGGAAGATGTCTGCTGTTTTAATGTAAAAAATGTACATAACAAGATTTCTTTATCAGCAAGCATTTCAAGAAATATTGCATCTATAGAAAAGCCAAACAAAGAAAGTATTATACAAGCACAATAATAAGAGAATCTCTAATAGTAAAGTAGCCCAATTTTTTGTTTTGCTATGCAAATTCATTAGCAAAGGCACTTTTTAATTATGTACACCAAAATCCTTGCATAGCACAAATAAAGAATTGGTTTGGCTTGGCCATTATAATTTGTATTTATTGTTCATTTACTAAATCCAATTTATATTTTTATTTATTAGTAATTCATCATTAACGATACTTATAAATATGGCTATAATAATTTACATTACCATTATTATTCATCAGCGAATTTAAAACCCTCAAAGACAAAGTCCTCTTCTAGACCTGATGGTTGGAAATGTAGCTAAACAAAAGATGGTAGTGGTACTCTAATTTCCTTGCCCAATACATTCCAACACCATCGAACCAGTTGCCTGTAAGCCACATGTCTTTGTCTTTTGTGTTCAGCTCCTTCTTCAGCTCTTGAACCATAGTGTTGTTTGTACTCACTCCATGCCAGTCGTAATACCCAATAATTTAAACAAAGATTTCGAAAAACAGGATTATCTGTAATACAGTCCGGAGTATCTATTCCCTCAAATTGTGCTGAGTCTTCATTCATTGTTACAACAGCTGAACTTCGTCGGAGTCGTCCATAGGCTCGTCGCTAGAGTCTGTTTCAATCGGCTCATAAGCATATGGTTGAATCATGTTTTGATTGTTAATCATTTCTTCGTAGTTTTAAACACTGCTTCCAGAATAATTACTAGAGGAATCGTTTGACTAATCCGTATCCATTGCGCAAAATAATTTAAAAACTTAGAAAATAAAATGCAACTATGAATATGCCTATGCGTAATTTCTACTTTTGCTAGTATATTTTGTCTTATGTTGACAAAGATCACCGCGCAGTGACGTCACGACGAAAAACCGCTGCTGGACTGCGGCTTCGCTTGCATGTACACAATGGAGATCGAAAAATACACACATTTAAGGCATTATTTCTCGAGTTAAATTTGAATTGGAAACCTAGGATTTTGCGAGAGAGGTAAGAACAATACACACTTTCATATGAGCGAAAGTTGTGTTAAGGTCTGACTACCCCTTTAAACGATAGAAATTGAAAGTGAAGCATTTGACCTCTATATTTATCTTTTATTTGCCAACAGCTAAAAGTCTTCCGTATTTGTGAAACGTTTCGTGAGATAAAGGAAGAAAAAAAGGACAAAGGGCAGTTGTATTTTCAGTTTAGAGACATAGACATTGAAAGAAAAGCATTTGGACCTGAACATATACTGCAATAATATACAACAATCTTCATTTGGTTATAAACAAACTATAGATATTGAAACTGAAGCATTTGGACTTGTATTAATCTTTTATTTACTAGAAGCTAAAATACTCCTGTCCGTGAGAAAACGTATAAGGAGATAGAAGAAGAGGAAATGATATCGTAGCTCATTTTCAATGAACAAAGGTTCAAATAACAACAGTTGTATATTTATAAAAGGTATAAATATATTATTGACAATATTCAAACATTTGTATTTTCAAGTTTTCAACTATCATTTATTTACTGGAACAGTTTTTTATAAGAAATGTACAGTTATTTGTATATTTCTAATTATGAGAATTGTAGTTGTTTGAAATGGACATGCAGTTATTGTTATTTGATCCAATCATATTTGATTTGGAGACTAACACCTTAATTGGCGTGACAACGTTTGTTTGTTTTTTATTTTGGAGGAAATATTTATTGAATGATTGGTTTAATCATTTAATGATTGGTTTAATCATTTAATGATTGGTTCAATAATACTTTATTATAGTTCAAACTATTAAGGCAATATGAAGTAAAAGTTATAAATAACCTGAAGAAGAAAAAGCAGGATATCATTGCCATAGCTTTGACAGAAGTGAAAATGACACATTTAACTGTCCGACTGCCAGATTTTAGACAACCAGATTTACTAATATATAAAAAATCCCAGCAGTGGTGCAGAATACTTGTTAATTGGGGTGGGGGGGCACAAATTCATATATGCATGTCTTAATAAGTTGAAAACAATGGATTTCAACAGTACTTAATGTGGCAGAACATGAATACATGAATATGTGCCTCCTACCCAAAATAAAGAGTCTGCTATGCCATTTACTCCCTGGGCATCTTGAAGAGCTCTGGCATTGTGTGTAACAGTTAGTATTTCATTTTGCAAGGAACTTCTTATTTGTTTTCCAAAATATTATTTGAACATTAGAGAAATTGTGTACAAACTATTAAAAGTTTATATTAGGAATATATTTCTAGGCAACACCCTCTTTAAAGTATGTATCCATGTTCAGGAGTGAATGACATGACCAGACATTTTTGGCTAATGTCTTTACAAATGATAAGAACAGTAAATGAGTCATTTCTACTGATGTCTTTACTACTGATATGGACAGTAATGAGTCATTTTCATTGCTATGACATTCATGTCTTGCTTTTTCTTTAGTTTATACTTTGCATTGCTTTGAAACTGATTCTCCTAGCTACATAAATGATTTTACCACTAAATCACATTAGAAAATGTTGTGGTTATCTCTGATCCCAAGAAATTCAAGTATAAATTAAAAAAGTTAATATAAATCAAATTCCTTGAAATGAAGTCAAAATCCATTCCTATCTGTAAAGACTAAACACAATAAAAATTCTTTGCTGACAAGCGTTTTGATAGATCTGGCATTGGAGACCACCTGACAATGTAATTTATCTTTATGTATGCTTTAGGTAGTGATGTAGTCAAGAAAAATGGAGCTTTTACTCTAATTATGTGTGCCTGGCCCATATTTACTTTCGTCATCTCATATGTAGTGTAGTGAGTAACGAAAAAGTAATTGAACAACAAAATATTTATTTTCATAGCACTGGTAGACTTGCTATACGCTACGAGTTGTCATGGTGTTATTAAAGGACTGAATTCTGATATCTTCCTTTGATTATTTTTTTATTTTCCGTAAATTATACACGTATTTAATAAAATATACATTTAAGTTGATTTATCCTAAGGGGAACCCCCACGGTCTGGGAATCTAAGTTCTTGATACAGAGTGTTTCAAAAAAAGGTATTTCAACTTTTACTTGCTGATGTGTGTAAAATACTGAATAAATAACTGTAGTTTTAAATATTTAAAAAAAGAGCTCTAGGTTCTAGCTATGGATGCTGTTGTTTGTTGCGATTTGGAAGGAAAATGAGTGAAATGCAAGCGCGTTGAAAAATTTTGGTCAAAGTCGCATTCTTTCACCTCTGAGCATATTTTCGTCAACATGAAAGGTGCTTCACTTTGATTTTGCTGGTTTGTTGACTGACTATCATGGTGATGTCTTATTTTTCAACCTTGAAAATATTTGAAACTATCTGACATTTACAATTTCCATGATTGAGCAAAACTTGATACTCAAGGATTCATTTTTTATCATTTTCGCGCACTATTTTGAACATAAACGACAAAGCATTTATTAAAATAGAATTCAAATTAAGATTGTCTGTTTCTTTGCCAAGGTATTTATAAACTTCCTTTATGTTGTAAGTTCTCATCACCTAACTAAAGGATTGTATCACATTAGCCAAGTCGTTGAAATATATTAGGAATAACAAAGGGCCCAGAATAGAAACCTGTGCACAGTAAAAAGAAAAGGGCCATTTTAGCCCCCAGAATGGGGCCAAAATATTGACCCCAGAACGGCCCCATAATTTAGAGCCAAATTCGGCCCTTTAAAGAGGGGCCAAATTCGGCCCTTTAAATCTAAACATGAAATGGTTCAATGCCCAAATTCCCTGAAGTCTCTGCATTTACATTTTTATCAGCTGTCAACTTTTGGAATAATTTTTACTTGCTGCACATTCTTTTTTTCATTGTCAAGGTTCGCAACATTCAGTTTTACATGATCCATCAAAAGAAGAATTAAAACAAATTGATGGTCACTTGAATGATCAAGATCTTGTGTACAAGTAAGTGGACATACATTGTCATGTATCATCCATGGGAAATTTTTCTACAAGCATTGGCTCTGCTTGGTGTGCAATATCTGACCCATGTGTGCTCATTAATTAATGAAAATTTTAAAGTATGTACTATTTTTTTATAGGACTTCCTGGGTAAAAATCCTTGGAACACTCTACAAAATTGGGGCAATTATCCATGTGGGCTTCAACAATTTTCTGCCTGTTTTTGCTGAGATTAAATCAATCCATGTTTTAAACTCATCAATTGAAAGGGTGTATTTTGCTGCTGAAATTTTGTACACAAAAGAGTTTTGTGAGCATTACCGTACCTATGTTGTAAACAGAGCAGTACATCCTGAAATTCAGTTTTACCCACAAAGATCGTTGCAGTACTATCTCCCACTTCACTTTCTGAATCCTGTCTGTTCACATAACCAGACACATGTTTGGCCTAAATGTGATATTCACAATTACAATTAATACCAATATTTACTGATTTAAAAGATGCAGTGCGTATGTTCATAATAAATATCATCACATTGTGAAATGTTGCCTATCAAAAATTTTTTGAGAACTAAAATATCATATCTTTGTCATAATATGTGATTTAGTTTGTTCAAAAGCAATTAAAACTGCTAAAATGCAAAAAATACATTCGTCATGGAGCCAAAACGGCTCTATTGTCTGTTTTAGCCCTTATTGTTAGCCAATACGGCTAGCAATTTCAAAAGCCAAAACGACCTCATGGGGCTAAAATGGCCCTTTTCTTTTTACTGTGTGGGTTTCCTGTGAGACTTTCTTCTTCTTGTGATATAACTCTTCATATTATAAAGCGAAAAAACAACAAAAGAGAGACGCAAAGGTATAGACACTGAGCTAGACACAAAGGTGGACAAAAACATAGACAAAAAAGTAGACACAAAAGTAGACAAAAACAGACAAAAAGGTAACACAAAGGCAAAAAGATATGCAAAAAGATACACGAAAGATTGACAAAAAGACGAAGACTAATGGAAACAAAAACAAAAGAGAGAGGCGCAAAGGTATAGAAACTGAGGTAGACCCAAAAGTGGACAAAAATATAGAGAAAAAGGTAGGCACAAAGGTAGACAAAAACATAGATGAAAAGGTAACACAAATAAAGTCAAAAAGATATACAAAAAGATACACGAAAGATTGACAAAAAGACGAAGACTAATGGAAACAAAAAGGTAGACACAAAAGTAGACGTAAAGACTAAAGTCAGACAAAAACATCATAATGTGCAAGGATTGTCGTTTCACAAAAAGATAAATTACTATTTTTTTCATTTGATTTTAGATATTTAGACCAACAAACTGAAAACAGTTAAACTTGTTTCGGAAGAAAAAGAATGGACGATATTAACCATCGTATCTAGCTAATTTCCAGCCTATCTGACAAATATCCTCAGTTTCATGTCGACGACGGCAAGCACAGAAGCAAGTTGGCCATTTCTTACAACTGTGCATGTCGCACACGGCATGAAATTGAAAATATTGACTGCAGTAAGAAAATTAGGAATTTTATAATTTGTTTTTTTTTATGAAGATAAATTCCATGTTTTTATCCCACAAGATTTTTACATTAAAAAACGTCGAAATTTGGGCGTTTGATAATGGCGTAGTTTTATTCATCTGTAAAGAAAATGAAATTGTGTAAAGTTACAATAGCTAATTTAAACACCTGAGATAAACACAACTTTCTAATGAGTTTATTTTGTTGCTGTAAAAATTTTACCATCATAAATCGTTGGTTAAAAGTGACTTGTCTTGCGAACAATTTTCGAGACAAGAATCGTGATCTAAGAAAGAAAAATGATCAGGAAAACGTTTTAAAACAGCCAAAGGCCAAGAAACTGCATTTGACTTGGAGACACTGGAGATTGAAACGTCGCTAAAGAACAAAATCTTTTGATTTCCCATTCATAGCTTGCCATGTAAACGGCCTGGTGGACTCACAATATATATACGTCTTGCAAAATTACTGTCAAAAACGATGAACGAGGAAAAAGATACTTACCATCTTAACATTTCCTCAGTTATAAAGCAGTTCAGAGGAAGTAGAATATCAATTCATAAATAGCTCAGCCTCAAGGGAATGGTGAACAAAAGCCAAATACGTTTTCATCGTGGTCAATAATCAATTTCTTTATTTATTCAAGTCCTCCATCATGGTGAATTAAAACCACCAACATTTGTTCTATGTTTCTCGATCGCATTAACAGAAAAATGTTCATGTCTAAAATAAAGCAAAGAATTAACATTAACAAAAACGAAAACTTTATAAGAAGACGTATATTTAGGTCATACATTTTGCATAAAGATATTAATGTCGTTTACATTTCACACTTCAATCAAAGAGAGAGTTCTCTCCGAACACGAATATCAAAAATCACATTTACCTGAACATGTTATGGAAAAAGTCAAAGATATACTTTGCTTTCGGCAAATATTCTTCGTGTTAGTAGGAAGGTAGAGATTTAAATAACGCATTGAAAGTTTGAGTTGATCTTAAAATATGCCCCAAGTTGCGGAAAGCGTGTGTTTTCTGATTGGTCAGTTCTAGGCGTGTACTTAATTCTACATGGTACACAAGTAAAAAAGACTTGCTGCTAAATGCACTCATTTCTTTTTGTTTTTTATGAGCGAACGCTTTAATTTTTAAGGTTCCTGCTTGCGTAACAAAGAAAATTCGTTATGTCGTTGTAAGGGTAAGGTCCGTTTCAAACGTCGCATTTTACGTGAACCAAATGCATTAAAAACAAAATAAAATGAGAAAAAAATCCTCGATATCTTTTGTTTTAAATACATTCGGCTCATGTAAAATTCCACGTTTCAAACAGGCCTAAGATAAATAGTAAACTCAATGACATAAAAAGCACTTAAAAAATCGCGGTATTTTTCAAGAACTCGAATATTCGTTAACCGCTTGAACGTACATTTCGACATTAATGTTTGTCATTATATAAAAGTTTCTGGTGAAGAACAGGGCTAATTTTGAAAATATATAAGCAAATAACATAATGGTAAGGAAACATTATTTGCTTTTTAATTCCTAGGTTAAAACATTTTCAAAGGTAGTATTGAGAAATGTCTTCGACGAGGATCGAGGCCTCTCATTACTAAGATATAGCGTAATTAATATTTCCACTTTTTTATATACCATTCCCAAATTTTATTAATTTAAACGTTTGTTTGTTCAGAGATTAGATAGTAGACACCAATGTTCGATGGACTAATGAAACGCAGGCAATAGCGAGATGTTTTTGACATTATGCAGATATATAACATAGAAAATGTAAACAACAAAGTTGTAGTGGTTGTGTTGGCAAAACCTTGTTATGGTGTTGTGTTTTGATATCCGACATTTTGAGTTTCCACCCATTTTTGTCAGATTATATCAATCATACTGGTATTTTGTAATTGTCAATCATAAAAAAGCAAATCCTTACGTTCTCATCAAGTGCCTATTTTTTACAAATTATCATTGTATAAAGAATGTTTCAATGATACATCCTGTATAATTATTAAAAGGAAAATTTAAAAGTTATAAGCACATTAAAGAAATAATTGTCGAATGCGTCAGCAACCAACCTGGTGAAACGGTAAATGAATTGAAGAAATAGAAATATTATTAACGTGAAAGTTGTCTGAAAGTCACTATTTTTTATACGGCTTATTTTGATATCTATGTTGCATGCTTCGTTGTTTGTCCGTCTATGCTTAATTAATCTTTAGCTTGCATTTATGTGTCTGTTGATATCGAAAATAATGAGTTACAACGAAACAATGTTAGTGCTCCAAAAACAAGAATATTTTAGGAGTAACAGAAATGGCATTGTTTACTACATCCAAAGAAGTTAAGTCAATTGGGCAAAAAAATATTTCTTGTGATCATTTATGTACATTTATACCTGTATTAGATGGCAATCCTTGACAGAATAGCGAAATGGTGACCCATTATGATCCATTATAAATTACTGGAACTCCAAAACCCTTTAGGTTTGTGCTATAAAAATATGAATGTTTAAATTACAAAGTTTAACCATGGGCGGGCGGCCCAAAAAATCACTGAAATTGTATAAACAAACGATAACTCGCCCCATTCCATCGTAACAGACCGTGCCCCGCAAACTTTGTATTGATTGATTGTATCTGTATTATATATTTACCTAAAAAAATATATTAATAAATAATAAAAACAAATACATAAATGAATATATAATATAGATACAATTAATCAATACAAAGTTTGCGGGGCACGGTGTGTTACAATGGAACGGGGCGAGTTATCGTTGGTTTATACAATTTAAGTGATTTTTTGGGCCGCCTTTAGTTTAACCTCACAAAGTTAAATCTATAACAAATGTGCTTCGCCAAGAAAATGCTTTAGCGAAAAATGTGAAATCTCTATTTCATCAAGATTTCAACGATGATAATATACCATCAACGTTTGGTGGTTATATTGTTTACCTCTGACTGACCATAACTTTCTTCAATTGTTTTTTGAAAGTCTCTTAATGTCATTCCATATTCCATATTTGTTTTTAACTTCTCTAGTTTAAACATAACAGGACAATCCAGTGATATACAGCTCAGTTGTTCATCTCTAGCTCCACAACACTGAAAACATATCTACAATATGAAAAAAATAAATGTCATGAAAAAGACAAACCATAATTATTAGGTTATTTATTAAGCATACCTATTTAAGATGACTGTATTTTCTTTCCCAGTTCCCCACTCTCCCTTCCAGAATAAAGACAGACTTTTGAGGGTTGCTACGACAACTTTGACACAAACCGTGCTGTGTTAATTGTTCACATACAGGACAGTGTAGAGTTGTAAAAAACAGAGAAATTGAACGCTAAAATTTGTTCAAATAAATTAATCTAGCTTTTTAATCAATTCAGGAATGTACTTATGACAAGTAACTTTTAGTTTCCTTGGAATAACACGATGTCGAGGGATATAGCGGGGTAGTTATGTATACCATGAAAACACATCAACACCAATCAAGGAAAAAACGCGATCCAATAGGGGAAGTATTTGTTTCTGAACATAGTAGATGGTATTGAGGCGTAGATTTTTATCATTTAACACATGAATAGGACTGAAGAAAATTAAAACAAGAAGATTGTTTAATGAAGACAATCATATTTATACTAAAGTATTTATTAATAACATTCCAACAGCTTTTGTCATGATACATAACGTAAAATAATGAATGACAGCAACATTTGAACTTACTCTTTAACCAATTGAATCAATGGTAGTCCAGGACTGCCGTTAACAATGACGTAAGGTACACGTTCTCCCACGCGAGGTTCCGCGCGACGATCACGTGACAAATGACGTCTATACAAAAATAGAAATAGTAAAACTGTAATCATGAAAACAATATAAAGAGGATTTTTCATTTCAACAATAAATTGAACTTTGCAACTTCCAAAGCTGGAACACATGCTTTTGGTTTATATCTTTTCATACCACGATATTCCTTAGCAAAGATGAAATCCTGAATCGATACTCTATCTTTCATCATTTTAACGAACTGCCGCTGGACAAACTTCTTCACAAGACTCACGTCTCTTTCTTCAAATAAAATCCTTAAAGACTTCTCTAAAATCTGTTAGAAAAATAAAATCACAGAGTGTTTGAACTCAAAATTACCTCCCCCCTGCAGAGTCTTGTGTGATTGGATGACACAGTAAATATTGTCGATTGTTCCATACCATAGCGACCACTGGACATGTATCTCGCCGTACAGTCTCTATTCCTTTCGCATCAAACACTGGATCTTTCTGTTCTAATGTTTCGTACATATAACCAACGTAACGTTTCTTTGTTTGAAGAACACAAGGCATATATACCTAAAAAGTCATCCCTAGTTATACATAAATGTATCTTAAATTCAAAATCTCTCAAATAGATACAATTTTGCAGTAGATAAAAACCTTTTCAAACTTTAGTTTCACAGGTTTAGGATTCTCTGCAGTAACAGCATCAACCATTTCTTTTCCAATCTTAAACGCTTCCTCTTTACTGGCACCTTTTACTAATATGAAAAGACTATCGGTCTCCCCATATACCACACGAGAACCCACTCATACCTTGTGTTCACGAGATTCATAGCTCGTTCCAGGGTCTCGCGTGCTTTACAAACAATGGCGTCAGTAATCTGATGAAAAACAGAAAAGAATATTCAGATGGTTTTATGAGTAAAATGAATCCAGTATGACAATAAGCACTTGATAGATTTTCAATCTGAAAATGTGACTTAGTCCAGGCTCACGATAATCATAATAATCAACATGTATCCATATTAAATATATTATATATTTACCAATTATCTGTGGTAAATGTATTATATATTTATTGTATCTTAAATATATATGTGTATTGGTAAATATATAATATATATAATATAGATACAATCAATTAATACAAAGTTTACGGCTCACAGTCTGTTTAGATGGAATGGGGAGAGCTATAGTTTCTTTGAATTTCTATCATGACAAGATCAAAGTTACCTCAACACTCGGCCTTCGTCCTGAGAAGCTTGCTGATGTGTAACCATAAGTGACATTTGCAATCAACTTTAACGCAAGTTGTCGAGCATCAAGAAGTTGAAGAAGAGTCTCAAAATGTAAATTATTTATGATATTGAATGATTAAAGAAAAGAAACGAAGAGTGGAAAGGCATCTTTTTTGAACATGATGAAATCTCCATGACGTTTTAGTTACTGGATCTTATAAAAACATCAAAAATCGCTTCAAAAACAAAGGTTTAATAAAACCAACTTACTTTACCATCTTTACAATCTTTCATAGCTTTCTTTACCATAATACGTGTGTCTAATATCTCCTCCAACATTCTAAAATAAATGAAACTTATTGAACATATAACAGCCAAAGATATCAAGACCCATTTAGGACAGTAAAGACATAAGAAGGAATGCTATGTACATCGAATGACAAAGAAGGAGCGCTATGTACATCGAATGACAAAGAAGGAACGCTATGTACATTGAATGACAAAGAAGGAGCGCTATGTACATCGAATGACAAAAAAAAATTGCAAAATATACTACAAAATGCAAATGTTATTTTTTCAACAACCTTTTGAATCAATAAAAATGTGACCTGTAAAGTAGCATAGTACATGGGGGTACGAGAGCACAAAAAGTGCTCTCATATCCCCCATGTACTATACTACTTTTATACCGTGGGTAAAAACTATCTTTACAAATAAATGTTAACAAGCATCGGTTTTAGATGGCCCCAGCCAGGAGGCTATCGATTTAGCGAAGCTAAATCGCAGAGGTGGGAAAAAACTCAAGTTTAAAAATATGGAATCTATATGTTTTAAAAACTATCTTTACAAATAAATTTTAACAAGCATCGGTTCAGAGGGGCTTGGCAGCTCAAATTTTAGCGTAGCTAAAATTGAGCAGGGGATGAAGCCCCGAGAATTCTAGGCGACGGTGGGGAAATTTTCACGAAGTGAAAATTCGGAGCCGAAAGTGGCATTCGATGAATATTCGAAGAATATTCGAGAATAACAGAGGCTTAATATATGCTCTTTTAAAACTATCTTTACAAAATATGGAATCTATATGTTTTTGAAATATATAGATGCGTTTTAATTTTACAAACCGTCTTCAAAAATCAATTGTTAACAAAGCATCGGTTTTAGATGGCCCCAGCCAGGAGGCTATCGATTTATCGAAGCTAAATCGCAGAGGTGGGAAAAAACTCAAGTTTAAAACTATGGAATCTATATGTTTTTTATTTGTCTGTCAGGCGCGTGTCTTAGTGCATGTTTTTAATAATGGTTGTTTAATGTAGTTAGCACACGGCACCAGCGCATTTTAATAATATAATGTTTTACAAAACTATGGAATCTATATGTTTTTTTAATTTGTCTGTCAAGTGCGTGTCACATGTATATGTTTAACAATGTTTTATATAATTTTTGTTAAAAGTGTTTTTTACTAATTGGATCAGGATTTTGAATTTTTTTGTATATCGCTTTTGTATTAATTACTTATTACAAACAGTTATGTGATATGTAGTCAAACATGAGCAGGAGGTATGTATGATTTTACTCTAACAGAGGCCTATGCTACATGCTTACTACACATTATAACTGTTTGTTAATATTTAGTTATTTGAACTGATATTATAATGGCCATAAGCTAATGTTGTTACACCATCATCTAATATATATCGTTTATCATCAAAACAGCTGAGTGATACTTTATTAATTTCATAACTACTAAGTTGATGGTTTACACTTCTAATAGTTTTCATTGTATGATGCATTTGTTTGTTTTCAAATAGTGTTGTTTTATAGTCTTCATGTTTTATTTTACTCTTAATAATATTTTTCTTAATTCCTTTAGCTTTTTTATCTCCTTTATTATTATCTTTAATATAACTGTACATTTTACTTCGTAACCCAACAAATTCAGTAATTGAGATTCCAGCGGCTTCGTCTTTAAATTTACCAATAACTTTTTTATTAGTCTTATCATAATATTGAGAATCTTCTGGGTAATCACTAAAATCAAATTTATCATTATCAACACAAAAATCTTTATAGACATCTTCAGTTTTGATTTCATATGTTAAACTATCTGTGTCTGTGAAAAGAAGTTTAGCTTTATCACCATATTTCTTCTTGATATAATTGTAATGAAAATCATACATCAACGTTTCACTTAAATCTAAGATACACATGCCAACATATGTAGGCCTGTTAAGGGTTAGTGTTTCTTTGATCTTATGCACAGCCACAAGATTCTCATTGAAGATTTTACTACTTACATAAGTAGGTTTTGAAGCTAATTTTAATAATTTATTTTTATTAGTTACCAGTCTAACATCTACTCGTTTTCGTAAATTCTCCATAGTCTTGCCGAATACTGAATTATTCATTAATTTGAAGAAGTCTTTTTCAAAAGAATTTTTTGCATTAGTTCTTTTTTGAGTATTAAAGTCTATGTATTTTTTCAACCATGGAGATTGATTAAATTCAAGTACTCTATGTACTTTTTTAACTTTAACCCAAGATCTAAATATAGTTGAAGATTTCTATAATGTAAAACGTATTTGTATTTATTTTTTAAAGTTGGAATCAGTTTGCTTACTAATCCTGTTGATATATTGTAATTAGAAGCAATTGTCTTACAATATTTTGACAACATGTCGCTAGTTACCTTAAGTTTTTCTGGTGCAACAGGATAATCGTTATGTAAATCATGTAGTTCTTTATTGTATTCTAAATCAACTTCTAAAATTAAACCTTTTTTACTATCTGCTTGATATTTAGCAAGGTTTATGTTGTTAATCTGTTTATCAGTTAACCATTTGAAATTACCAGTAGGTAAGTTTTGTGACATAGCCCACCCATACAGATTGTTAGCATCTAAATACGTTAAATACTTTGATGGCTTATTATTATCATAAGATGATTGATATTTGTTATTAGCTTTACCATATCGATTAGCAATATAACTAACACCTCCTCTCATACCCTTTTCAATGAATTGAAACATATCAATATCTGTCATTAATTCTAATTTAATATCTGTCATCTTTAACATAGCATCCCAAGACAACCCAGGAGATGTGAAATAGTGGCATGGATCTAATTTATAGTATTCTAAGCATGTTTTTCGAAAGTTTTCAAATACATCACTTAATAGAAGGATATCAGATTTCAGATATAGGTCGTGATACTCCCCCATGTTTTTCAGATTGAATGTATTCCACACTTTTTGTGCATGCTTATAAGCATCATCTGATATATTCTCAGAAGTAAGAATACTATAAAAGTCTTTTTTTGAAGGTAACTTCTCATTAAATTTTTCAAATGAATCCATATAATCATATGGATATATGCCTTTTTGAGTCATTAAATTAAATTTTTCACCTTTAAACTGATTAGAGGTATATTTAAATGAACCTTTAGGTAGGTTACTAACAAGCTTTCCAGACTAGAGCTCATAAATTGAAAACTATCAATAAAAGTAAGGTGGTTACCTAACATAAAAGCCATATACTTTTCCATATTATTAGGTATAGCATTTATATTCATTTGAATATCTTCTCCTTTTTTGTTTTTGTATGTATGCTTCTTAACAATAGCTCCGATTTCTTGCATAATAAAATGGCTATCATATCCTCGTAAATTATGAAATATTACTGGGATCTTTAATTTATCAGAGTCTATTCTTAGTTTTAAATTACAATCTTGATGTGCTGAGCCTCTGTATTTACTAGTGATATGGCAATGGTCTCGAACTCGAATATCTTTGTTAGTATATTTTTTGTTACAGATATGACATTCATCAGCTTTTTTAAATTCTTCTTCATTATCAGAGGTCATTTTTAATGGTTTATTAAAGTGAGTTTTTATAATATTTTTACAATATTTAACTTCTTTTAACATAGCTTCCATAAATTTGTAAACAGCCTTTTCACCTCTATATATTTGAATTTTTTTCGTGAATTTATCATCATAACAACAAACAACTTTATATCCATAGCCACAGTCTGTGTGCTTCTGATAGGCTTCAGTGAATGATTTTTTATTATTCTGATTACAACCAGATATCTTTTCTGTAATAGCCTCAAAGTCAGCATATATAACAAATGGTATTGGTTGTTGCTTATGATAGTTGTTGAATTTAAGTATGTTATTATTTTTATCAGGCATTCTTATTGATTGTATACCATTTATTAATATACAGTTTTCTATATGGTTATTTAATATTTTTTCAGAACTAAAACATTGAAGACATCTCATACAAAAATGTTTTCTTTCTTTATGTTTAGTTTGATTGTACATAAATTTATTAAAATCTTTTATTAATACATAATGTATGTTTTCATTATCAGTTATCAATAGTAGTTCCATATGGTCTTCAAATTTTTCTTTTGAAATGAATAATGGGTATGGTTGTTTATCTTCATAACCGAAAACGTTAATGTTAATTCTGTTTTGCTTTTCGATTTTATTATGTTTAACAGCCACTGGAAATTCAATCCCAGAGTAGTCTAATTTGTTAATATATTCCTTATCAGATTTTTTAATTCTCTGTGGGTCTTTATTTTGTGGATTTAAATATCGAATATGGCACCATCTAAAGCATTCATTATCTCTATTTTTGATATTAATTAATCCTTTTTTACTATTTTTAAGTTCTTGTGGTAAATTAATGTATGAACTCCCTTTAAGTGGTTTATATTGTACAACATTAAGATAATGGTTATCTACAGAGCGTATAACCCATAATGAAGATTCTTGTGTAAATTTATCAATCTTATTTAATATATTTTGTTTTGAAATTTGTAAGGATTCATTGATTTCATTAGAATTAGTAATTGTTAAAGCTGGACTGTTGAAATAAGCAATTTTTGTTAAAAAACCAGCAGTACCACCATCTTTTATTTCAAATTTTTCAAATGTTATTTTAAGAGTTTCAATATATTTAAGTGCTTTCATTGATGTTAATATTTCTTTAATATAATATGTAAGATACTTTCTAGTGTTCTGTAATTGTTTCAATGGATCTTTATTGTTAATAATGCTTATTTCATATGACTTTGTATAACCTTTAAGAGCATTGTTTGTTTCTCTTATTTCAACTCTAGGTGTTGGTATTGGTTTTTTATTTTTATCTGATAGCATCTGTGTATTGTTCTCATACTCTTTAATCATATCTTTTACACTCTTTCTTCGTTTTGGGACTGGTGTTAATACTTTTATTAATTCGTTTTTTCTAAGTTTATAATAATCTTTAACCATTTTTTCTTTAGCAATAACTTTTAACTGAGATACAGTCATTTGTTTGATATTGGATTGTGATAGTACTTTTTGTACTGGTTTGGAAATTAAAGTATTATTAACTTCAACCTTAGACTTTTGATTTAATATTATCTTAATTAAATCATTTCTAGTCAACTTTTGGAGCGCATCTCTATTCATCTTATGCATATTATATAATATAGGCTTGTCTTTAAGTACCTTTCGATTTAAATAATCTCTATTCATATATATACTATATATTTTATTTTTTTTTAAAAAAAACGCACTAATTTTAATTATAGAAATAAATCTATATTTAAAACTTTTTATAAAAACTATATTATTTTTAATTTTTTGAATTTCTTAAATGTTTTCTAGTTCTAAGATGTAAAGTTTTGTATGCTAAACTATATGTTTTATTACATGAATCACAATGCCATGGTTTTGAGAGCATATATGATGTCCTATGTTGTTTGATTTGTTCTTTATTAAAAATTCTTGGCCTTCCTCTTATTAGGTTATCTGAACACATATATACTAATACTATATATTTTATTTTTTAAATAGTTATTTAATGCGTTTAAGATAGATTCTAATAATACCATAAGCAGTTATATGAGGACAATATTCATATAAATCAAATTTTATAACATGAATATCTGTATCTGTATTTTTAATTTCATATTCAAATTTACAATCTCGCCATTCATGAAATCTATTAAACAGAGCATATGTTATTTCATTAAAACGTGGTACATAAGTATTACTGTTGTCTATTAAACCTGGTTTAAATGTCTTTAATATAATAGGTTCTGTATCAATATTCATTGCACACATCACATGTAAAACTTTTGTTATATTTTCAACATTATATCTATTTTTTGAAAAAGATAACCAGTCCTCTGTATGCAACTCATATTCTTTATATTTAACCTGATCTTCTTTATAATGAAGCTCATAAGTTAATGATTTAATGTACATGTTTTTTTCTTCCATTAATTTATTTAATAAATCTAAACTAATTTTATTTTCTTTATACTTATATACATCTTTGTTTTTTATAACTTCAACCATTCTATATAATTACTATATATATTATTTTTTTATGGTGCGTTCAAATTATACAATGTTTTTTCAAAATCCTTCAAAACAACTTCTATATTAGAACTAGTTTTTTTACAACATAGAATAAAATTTCTAATCTTTTTTAATAGATCTTTAAGATTCATATATAATCATAAATGTTTTATTTCTTTAACTGGACCCAGTTGTTATAATAAGTACAGTCGATATCTTTATCCCACTTAAGGATTTTATATACTTCACCAAATAATCTATCGTCAAAAATCCTCTTTGTCTTACTATTTTTCATATCTTTAATATGGTGTTTTAATGGTATACCCCTACGGCTGGCTAAGCGTATTATATAATAATTATACATACTAACATTTTTTTTATTAATTAATTTATGTTTAATCATAGTACTAACAACCTTTATAAAATCATTTGTCAATTTCTCAACATATTCAAAAGTTACACACAATCTAATTTTATTATAAAACCATTTTTTCCTTGAATGAACTGATCGTTGACATTTCCAAATCTCTGGTATCCATTCATTAACTATCTTATATGAGTGAACAGAACCACAGTGTTTACAAACATTCATTTTATTGTTATCTGAAATAATTTCTTGATTTTCACAACATAAGTATGTCTTAACAGATCTATTAATATAACTATCACATATCTTTTTATCACAAAAGCAACAATTTACATAACCAAAAAACTCTTCTAACTTTTTATGAATCAATTTGTTACAATACATATAATATAATATAATATAATATTATATCTTTAAGTAGTTTTATATAATAAATATCCGGATATAATACCAAGACATACCATTGTAATAGATTGATATTTTTCATATTCTTAGATTTTGTAAAAGTCATTTAATTGTGGTTCTCTATGAAATGTTAACCGTTGTAATGTATTGTTTTTCTTTTCTAAGCATATATAAAGCTTTGTTTGTAAGTTCTATATCATTATCAGCATATTGAAGTTCTTGTCTAAGCTGTTGAATTTTATCATGCTGCTTGACTTCATTTTCATAGAACGCCTCTTTAGCTCTTTGTAATTTTTCTAGAGACTCATGGTATCTTTTCATTCCCTCAGTGTAACCGTTTTTATCATGTTTATGAAATAGCCAGCCTGCTAGGGAAAAACCTAGGCCGTTAACAACCGCTCCAAAAGCTGTTCCAGCCCCACTAGTAATAACACTTGTCATATATATTTATACAGATTTAACTGGATTTTCAGGAATCCACTTTTTGTCTTGAGCATATTTAACTAGCATTGTTGATGCTGTAACAGCAACAACCAGTTTAGCAAAATCTTTGATACTGTTTGTGTCTGTTAATTTTTGACCTAGTAGTTTTTTAGATGCCATTGAAAGACCTACAGCAGTTGTTGTCACAAGCACTGCATCAAAAGCTTCATTCATAAACTGTTTCTTAGTCATAGTGTTACTCATATATAATAGGAAATATTTTATTCAAATGAGTCTAAATTATATTGTTTATTTTTTTGTATCAAAACATGTTTTTCACTAGTTGTTTCTTCTCTAGCTTTATCGTTTGTTAATTTTTCCTGCTTTTTATCATTTTTCCTTGTATAATATAGACTAGCAATAGCAGTTAATACTCCAATAGTTCCAAATAAAAATCCGTAATTAATATTCCAGCTATCATCCTCAATTTTCTTTTTATTTTCTAATTCAATCCTATCTCGCATCTTTTTTTCTTTAGCAGCTTTCGATATAGCAGCCAAGCGTTTCCCAGCTTCAACTCTAAGAGGGTCTTTCTCTTTCTTAACTGTAGTTATCTTTACGTTTTCTTCAGACATGTTATATAATACTGTAGATTTTGTTCACAGATAACTCACAGATAATCTTATAGATAACTTACAGATAACTCACAGATCTTTATATTTTTTGTTATATTTACTCACCATATCATCTATAGGAGGGCAATTGCCTATTATAATATCATCGATAACTTTTATGTCTGATATAAATATCACTTCATCATAAGGTAATCCTCTTAAATATGATAGTCTAATTTTCTTTAATTTATTATACTTCCATTTATAACAGGTATATATCTTGTGATAGTATAAATACAACTTTTTTAGCTTTTCAAATTCCTCTTGACTTAACTGAC